CGCAGACGTAGGGCCGCTCGCCCGAGTGCGTGCGCCGGTGGCGCAGCAGGTTGGACGAGACGCTGAAGCGCTTGCCGCAGTCGCCGCAGGCGTAGGGCCGCTCGCCCGTGTGCGTGCGCTGGTGCTGCACCAGCGCCGAGCTCTCGCTGAAGCGCTTGGCGCAGTAGGAGCAGGCGTAGGGCTTCTCGCCCGTGTGGATGCGCTGGTGCGTCACCAGGTTGGAGTGCTGCGAGAAGCCCTTGCCGCACTCGCCGCAGCGGTGCGGCCGCTCCCCGGTGTGCGTGGCCTGGTGGCGCACCAGGTCCGTGCTGCGGCTGAAGCCCTTCCCGCACTCGCCGCAGATGGTGGGCCGGTCCCGCGCGCGCCGCCCCTCCTGGCCTCGGCTTCCCACGGGGAGAGGAGGAGGAGTGGGGAGGAAGGGCCAGGGAGGGGCCGGGAGGGAGGAGAAGGTGCGGAGCTGCCCGCGCACCCCCGCCCCTCGCGCTCTCGCGGCGAAGGCTCCTCGAGCCGGGCCCGGTACAACAAGTCTGTCCTCCGACGTCAGGGGGTCATTAATAACCAATTAGGAGGGTCACTGCGGCTTCTATAAAGGCGCTGAGATTTTGCCAAGGGGAAAACCGTCCGGGCTGAGAGTGCGAGAGGCGAGCGCGCGTCCTAGAGCCTCTGGCAGCCGTTTCGCCGCAGCCACCCGCCATCCACCCACCCCGCACCCCTACACCCGCCTCCGCCTCCACCCACGTCTCTCCAGCTCTTCGCACCGCCTCTGCCATCTCCGCTGATTTCGCCATCTCTCTCTGCCTCTCTCCCCCTCGTTCACTCTCCTCCCAGCCACCCCCTCGCCTCCTGCTCCCTCTTGCGTCGTCCTCCTCCTCGTCCTCCCCCTGCTCTTCTTCCTCATCCTCTCACTTGGAGCCCTTCTCTCCGTGCCTCTGCTCCCGTCTCGCCAGCCACATCCCCGCGTCGGCGCGCCCGCCAGGCCGTCGTTCCCAGGAGCCGGCCAGCCCCGGGACGCCCATGATGGGCTCCGTGCTCCCGGCTGAGGCCCTGGTGCTCAAGACAGGGCTGAAGACGCCGGGGCTGGCGCTGGCCGAGGTCATCACGTCCGACATCCTGCACAGCTTCCTGTACGGCCGCTGGCGCAACGTGCTGGGGGAGCAGCTCTTCGAGGACAAGAGCCACCACGCCAGCCCCAAGACAGCCTTCACCGCCGAGGTCCTGGCGCAGTCCTTCTCGGGAGGTGAGTTACGCCGTCGGGCCCGCCCTGTTCTCTCCTCCCAGGCCCGGGATTCCCGGCCCCGCCGCTGCGCGGGATGCAGCGCGGACGCCGGACCTCGTGGACGCTCGCCCCAAACTGGGTGCTCCTGACGCTCGTGTGCCTCAGTTTCTCAGTGGACGGATCCAGGACGTGAGCAGCCCGGCCACGTCATGCGGTGGCCCTCACGCCGTGAGGCTGGAGGAAGGGACCCAGGCGTCCAGCCCGCCAGGCTCCTCGCTCCCCGCGCCCCCCTCTCCGCCCCTCCCCCTTTGGAGCCAACGAGTTCCAGGCATTTAAAGCCTTACTAGGCGTGTAATAGCAGTTGACTCAAAAAGAAGGGGTTTTAAATTCATTTAGTTAACTTGGGCTTGACCCGCGAAAGTTCCCACTTAAACCAAGAACTTTAAAAGGCAGCGGGGGATACGGAGGGGGCGGAGGGCGGGCGGTCCCGGAGAAAAAGCCGCGGAGAGAGCGAGGGAGAGAGAGAGAGCGAGAAAAGTTTCTTTTCTTTAAGATGTCTCAAGTTCTTATTCCTCATTCATCAACCTGCGAACAATATCTTTCCCCAACGCTGGCATCTCTGCGCGGCGCCCTCTCTTCCCCCTTTACGATTTCTGTTCCTCTCTTAATTTACCGTGAAGACTAATTCCACTTCCATTCACGCTATGTCAACCATCTAATCCCCCCTTTTTGTAAGGGGAATTCCTCGGCCCCTTTTAAACAAGTCCCCTCCGCATTGAGCTACAATTTACTGCTACAGCATTCTTCCAGGGCTAATGAATTTAGAATTAGCAATTTCTTTCGAATGGGGCCGAATGAATGCGATCACTTTAACAGCGTGACAAATTGCCGGCCGCGCCGCAATGGACACCGTTTAACCCCCCCTTTCAGACGGCCAGCTCGCCGGGTATTTTCCCAGGTAGCTTAGAGGGGAATCTTGTAAGACATGGAGGCCGCCCCTGTGCGCCTCGCTGCTCCCACCCTGGCCGCCGAGGCCGGGCGGGGGTCCCCAATGGGTGTGTGGGGGGAAGCCCCGGCTCTTCTCTGCCCAGAGAGGCGACTGCAGGGCTCGCTTGGGCCCGGGCTCCGCCCTCTCTAGCGCCCGGGACGAGGGGCTTGCTCTTGGGGAAGCCAGGGCCCGGCCCCTCGGCTCCAGTCCCCCGCACTGCGGGAAAGGCCGGGGGCATCCCAGCCGCACAGGCGAAACCTAACCTATGAGGCCAGCCCACACCCGAAGATCCAGAAAACCCGGCTTCATTAGCGGCCTGGGCGCAGAGAGGGACCCTGGCGTATCCAGGTGACAGTGAGTGCGGAGCCTGGCTGGCCGCCGCCGGAGTTTCTTTTGCACCTGTGCAGCTCCTCAGCCCGAGGTCTGTCTCCAGAGCTGCCAATCCACCCCTGACGCAGGGCCTCCCCGAATCGTAAAGGAACCGGAACCCCTGAGCACGTCCCAGGCCCCCCGCCAGCTCAGCGCCGTGTGCCGGGAGCCGGGATGTGCAGTGACGGGAGGAAGGGCGCCGGGTTGGCCGTCTCCTCCCGCAGGTTCTGCATCTATAAAACCACGAGTGGGCCGGCTCAGCAGCTCTGCACCTATTTGGAATGTGTGTATGTGTGCATGAGTGTGTGCGCGTTTTGAGAATTCCTGGAGAAACAAAAACTCTAGAAAGGAGCCCCAAGGCACCTCTGGATTTGGAGGGCGCGGCGGGTCCACGGGAGGCAGACGGACGCCACCAAGATCCCTGAGCCTCCACCCCCACACAGCGGGGTGACTTCTCTGGAGTGGGGGGGCCTGTTTGGGCTGGGCCTGGACGGGCAGGCCTGGGGCAGCGGGCCCGTGCGGGGAAGGGCTGATGTTGCTCAGCCCCGGACTCTGACCCGCGTCTCCTGCCTCCGCGGCCGCAGAGGTGCAGAAGCTGTCCAGCCTGGTGCTGCCCGCCGAGGTGATCATCGCGCAGAGCTCCATCCCGGGCGAGGGCCTGGGCATCTTCTCGAAGACTTGGATCAAGGCGGGGACCGAGATGGGTCCTTTCACCGGCCGCGTCATCGCCCCGGAGCACGTGGACATCTGCAAGAACAACAACCTCATGTGGGAGGTAAGCGTCGGCGAGGGGAGAGGGGCGCAGGGCGCCAGCGAAGAGCACAGGCTGCGGGGCCAAGGGTTGGGGGTGGTACCCGGGTTAATGGCCGCTGCCGCTTAGTACTTCCTGGGAGCAGCAGACGCTACCGGCCAGAGGCCCCCCTGCGAGGCCAGTTGCTGGGAGCTTACCCCGCCTGGAGGCTCCTCCCCCAAACCGCGCCATTTGGAATAACGCCCCCCAGCCCCCAAGTCTGTGCCCGACAACAGTCTTGTTCGGAAAAATCTGATCCCCTTCCTTCAGCAAGCCTGCAAGCACGACTACTGTTGACCCCACTTCGCAGAAGAAGGCACTGAGACCCAGAGAGGCGAGGTAGCTTGTCCAGGGTCCCGCTGTGATCTGGGAAGCCATGGGTGGGGTTGCTGTGTGTGTATGTGTGGATGACCTTCCAGCCATTTGCTTGCTTTCCTTGGCTCCAAGAAGGAGCCAGGCAGGCTTCTCAGAGCCAGCCCTAGGCTGCAAACTGTGGTGATTGAAATGGAGAATGGCCCAGGCTGGCACTTCCCAAGAAGCAGCTTCCCAACCCCAGGGAGAATAATGACACTCAAAATGGTCATTGCTAAACTGGCATTGAGTCACCTTTCTGAGTCCCCACCTGCATGCCCCCTACCCATGGCTTCTCCAGCCTTCTGAGTAGTATGGTACTTACCGAAGGAAATAGATGCTCAGAGAACCTTCCATCCCGGGCCTTCTGACTGCCCTCTCTCAGTGTGCAGATACCAGGGAGGGCCAGCTTAGAGCAAATCCAGTCCTGCAGCCTTCTTTTTCTTGAGATTCTTACCCTGCAAAACCAGAAACCCACTGAGGCCAGGCTGGTGCACCCCCTTTCCCCCCCAATCAACTCCCCCCATCTCCTTCTTCTCCTTAGCCCCCTACTCTCCCCTGCTTCACAGCCCCCACCTGGTAGAACTCAGAGGAGTCCAATGCAAAACTCCTGCAGCTGGACAGGGGAGTGGGAGGAAAGGAACAGGAGGACAGCTCAGAGGCCTCTCTCAATCTGACTTTCTCCTCCCTGGGAGGTCTGGGCCAATGATAACCTTCTCTAGGTTGTTGCTGGGTCAGGAAGTTGGGATCTGGGTTTGGCCTCTGAGTGCTCTTGGTAGTGCCCACAAAAGGGCTGAGGTCTGGCCACTGGAAAGCTGCCTGGGCCAGGGTGTCATAGGGAGCCGGCCTACTTCTAACCCTCTTCTGAACTTAAAAAGGATGGCACTTTTGCCTAGAAGAGGGGGCTCAGATCTTTCTGAACGGGACTGTTTTTGTGACACAGCCTGGTCAGCGGTCCCATGGAGGCCCATTTCTGGGGAGGACATGGCAGCAGAAGCATGCCATGGTTGGCTCTGGGATCGACTCGCTGTTGCCTACTTGTAAATGCATGGTTTCAGGCAAGCCATCTCTCTTCTCCCAGAACAGAGATAATAATAGCTGTAGGCACTTTCCAGGGCTGTTTTGAGGATGGAGAGAGAATGAAGATCTGTCTGCCCGGCATAGGGCCTGGCCTGGACCACAGGCCGCCCATGTGGGTACTGCCCTGCCTCACTTGGTCCCCATTCCACTTGCATCCAGGTGTTCAATGAAGATGGCACAGTGCGCTACTTCATTGATGCCAGCCAGGAGGACCACCGAAGCTGGATGACTTACATCAAGTGCGCACGCAATGAGCAAGAGCAGAACCTGGAGGTGGTGCAGATTGGCACCAGTATCTTCTATAAGGCCATTGAGGTGAGTCCGTGGTGCTTTTGTGTAGGGGCTGTGGAGTGTATGTGTAGGGCAGCTGTGTCCAGGGACTGTGGTGGACAGAGGGGCGAGGTTGAAGGGCCTTGATGCTGGCCCAGTCAGCCCTGCCCAGGCTGTGGGACAGAATCCAGGCATCATGTCTCCTGGACTGTGGCCTCTGTGGAAAGCTCTCTGCTGTAGATCAGAAAGAACGGAACGTTTGGCTTAATACCATTGTGAGTGTCATGAGTACCTCAACAGTGAGGTCCCTGAATATCTGCTGAGTGTCCTGGGTTTTAGAGGTCACAAAGGACCAGAGAGCAAGATGTAGGAAGGCAGCCCAGGGAATGCATTTGGGTGGGAAAAAGAGCATTGTGTCTGAAGCATTTGAGCTGTGCGTGGTCCCTCATTCTGCACTCAGGAGGAACCTACATGTGGGTAATGACTCTAATCACAGCTCTCATGTACTGATCACTCCCTATGTCAGCCTTCTCACAGACACACACACACACACATATAATATATACAATAAAAATATAAGTTACATATAATTGTATTTAATCCTCACGTGACCCTGCAAAAGGGATTTTGCGATTATCTGCAGTTTAGAGGAAGGGAAACTGAGTCTCATGTGGTGGCAGGCTGACTGAGGAGCTCTTAAAGGGCGTTTAGAAAAGTGTTAGTGCTTGTATCTGTACAAAGTGAGACTTTTCAGAGAAAAGGTGAGGAACAGACAGGTAACTGTCACTGTCAGAAGTGGGGGTGAGAGGCATCCAGTGGAGGTGAGGGCTAAGACAGGCCCTGGCCTGGGAAGGTTCAGGTGGGCAGAGGGGAGAGGGGAGGGAGAAGAGGTGTTCCCAGCAGGAAAATACTTGGGCTGAGGCAGAAAAGCTCTAGGTGTGTGGGGAAGGGC